TTACACAGCTTCAGTCTCGTGTATGTATCCAACAATCTACTCAACCTCTCCGCTTGAACATCCCGGAAGCAACTTGAACTCCACACACCCAAAATTAAAGTCTTCCTTTGCCCCTGCTCCTGTACCAGTCCTGCACACCCCGATCAGTGGCTCTCCATGCTTACCAGGTGCTCAAGCCAGAAGCCTGCGACTCATTACTGACCCCTCCCCTGGTCTGTCACACCCCATCAATCACCAGTTCCCTCAGTTCTGCCTCCAGAAGGTAACACAAGTTCTCTCTGTCTCCAGTGCTGCCATGCACTTCCCTTGCCCACATTGTTGCAACAATCTCAAACATTGTCCCTTCCCTCTCAAATCCATTCACCACACAGAAGCCAGAGTGATAACTGAAAAAATGTCAATTATATTGCCTCACTCCCTACTCTTTTCTTTTCAATTATAGATTCACCAGAAGATGCAAAGAACGTACAGGCAGGTCCCGTACATCCTTCACCCAACTTCCCATAATATAAATCCTTCAATGTCTTCTTATTGCCCTGTGGATCATATCCAAAATCCTTATTCTGACCTCCAAAGCCCTTGGGATGCCCCTGCCCACACTGCTCACTGAGCTCCCCCCCAGTGTCCTTCCTATAGTTCTTCAACTGAGCAAGGATCTAGGCCTACCTCAGGCCTTTGCTCCCAAATTGTCTTCCCTGACTGGACCCCTTCCTTCCCCACTCACTCCAGTTTCTCTGGGTCAGTAACTTCTTTATCCTTCAGGCATCGGCTTTTTTGTGCTTTACTTAGTTAGCAAGCCTTCCCTGACCATTCGTTCCAAATGAGGTCTCCTTCATATTCGGTTTCATAGAACCCTGTGCTCTTCTGTCATAGTGCTTGTCATCTAGAATGTTTGTATATGTTTAACTTTTCATGTCTGACTCACTCTAGACCCTAAGTACAATATGGGGAGGGTTTTGTCCATTTTTCCTGTCACCCAGGCCGAGCCCCGTACCTGTACATTGTAGGTATTTTAGATCAAATTACAGAGCTGTCTGCATGTTAGTCTGTTTTTGTTAAGTAAAAAAGAAATTGGATCATCCTGAGACCCCTCTGAATTTCAGCCTCTTCCTTTCATTCTCCTCCCTACTCCAATATCCATAAACTTGTTCTATGCACAACCCAATTACAAGAAGGACACTTAATTTCCTCTTTGAGTTCCCTTCAGTAACAGATTGTGACTGGTAATTCATTTAGCATACATTGAAACCTGAATGTCTACTGATTATGTGCCAAAACACCGAGCTTGCTATGATAAAGACAGAGAAAAGATGTCATCTCCTGGAGAGAACCTGGAAAATGATTATTTCTGGTGGAAAACTTGTTTTGTCTCATAGACTTATGCTTCAGAGTCATTCATGAATGAGTAATGAACTCAGGAGAGATCAATGAAGCATTCTCTTAACCTTCTCAACCTATTTTGCTGAGAACTGAATAAGAGGAAAGTTACTAGAGGAGATGATGATTTAGGAAGAGAAAAATATGGTTGCTGTAATGTACAACTCTTGAAAGAAGGAAATTGGGCAATTCATCTAGCTTACTATGAGTAGTTTTTCAGGCTTCAGTCATGAGACACCTAAGTAATTTTTTCTCTGCTCTTTAATTCCAATGTTTATTTATTTTATTATTTTCCAACCATGAAGTGAAATAGTATGCAAAAGTCAAACTACTTTTAAGAGAGGAGGCAGTAAAAAAAAAAAAAAAATTGTGGTCTTTGCCTTGCTATATGACATACAGTTTTAATCTAATGCCATAAAGCTTTTATTTTCTCAAGGAATTATTTAAAATGGTTAAAATACTCTCATCTCTTTTCTTGATGGATGATGAGTCACCCTCTGTAAAGTTTTTAATGATGTAGAATAACTGCAAATTAAATAGCACAATCAAAACCAGGCATTGAAAATAGTGGTGCAGGCAGTCAGTGTGCTAAATACCACAGCATGAAGTGGGTGGTAACACGCATCGTGCAGACAGCTTGAAGAGTGACTGGCTCAGACGGACATCACTTAGTGACTGGTGGCATGACTGATGTCTAAACCTTCCTATGTCCGTGACATACATCAAAGCCTTTTGGCCCCAGCATCACATCCGTCTGCTAAGGAAAAGCAGTCCCTGCCCCAAGCTTCTAGGTCAGCTTATGTGAGGAGGACTCAGCCAACATCAGGCCTACGGAGATATTCTCAAAAGGTGCCAACACCTGGGATGCATCACTCCAGTGATGGCTGAGCGGCTGAGTTTCTCATTTTTTGTTTGTTTTGCTTTTGCTTTTGCTTTCTAAATAATTTTCTCATAGGCTGCACATCAAAAAGCACAGTGTTTCCTTATCACAAAAGTCAGCAGGAGGTATTTGGAGGCAGGAGAGAAAAGAGTCAATAGACTTTTTAAACATTGACACCCATGGATGGGGAAACTGCAGAGACCATGTGAGAGGTTTCTGTTGAGCTTGCAGTCACATCCCTTATGATTTTTGTTATTCCAGGAAGAGTCGGTGTCCAGTGCCTCCTGCTGAGATGATGTCAAGAGACTGTACTAGTAATGCATGCCATCTTTCCTTTGGGGAGTTCCAAATTCTTTTTGTATATTTAGCCAGAGTCAAGAATAGAGAGTTTAGTTCTTTTCAAGGATAGCTGCCAAAGTGAAAGCCATCTTGATGAGTGATAAGAGAACCCTTTAGGAGACAAACCTGGGCACAATGATGGTAGCCCATCCCTTGCTGGGTGCTTTTTGTGGGCATGCTCCTAGGCTGGCCCTCCAGGAGAGCACAGAGCAAGGAGCGCGAGAGAAGGAAGTACCCATCCTCTGAGGTATCGGAGGGGGCTCCAGGGCTCCAAGTGTTCAGCTCAGGCTTCTCACCTCTTACCCCGTGCTTCTTCCTACTCCCTCCGGTGTCCTCACCAAGAGAAGCTCTGTGGTTATTCTTCTTTCCTCTCTTGGACTAATTATGTGACACTGGAATGCCAGGACATTTGGGCCTTAATTTGCTGGAAACCAGGGGGGAGAGCGGAGGCAGTAACCCCTTAGATTGTCGGGTTTTGCTAGATTATGTTTTTTCTTAAATCAGTGTGGTGATATCATTTGTGGGAATTATCAAGGTTCCTCTTATTTGTTTGTTTTCCAGTTCCTTTTGCCCGGCCCAGAAGCAAATCTGACTTCTTTCAAATCTGACTTTCATTTCTACTTTGCTGTGATATTTCTCCCTAGAGCTACCCTTGTCACTTTAAGGGGACCTGTCCTCACTGTACAAAGGACCTTCCTGATCTTTGAAAGGTTTTAGCATCCCCAACCCCAGGCACTACAAGCCAGTAGTGATACCCCTCATGAATGTAAAACGAAGAAACACCCCTACTCAATTCCAGACACTCCTTGTCTTTAAAGTTCTGCTCGAATTTCAGTGGGAAGGACTCCCTAATGGATTCATTCATTGAATGTTTACTCAGTGGATATTTACCGAGCACGTGCTAACAGTTCTAGGCACTGTTGAGGAGCTACTGGTCCACCAACCATTAGCTGTCATTCAGACCTGCATCTTCCTAACACTGTCCTACCTCAACCTTTTCATTCACATGTTATTTCATATGTGTCCTCAAGTCATCCCTGGACCTCCAGTGTGACTTCTTACCTAGGGATGGAGCTTCTCCAAGACAATGACTACTTATTCTGCTTTTGTTTTTGTCCCTCCTGGAGCCCAGCATAATAGTCTCTACACAGTAGGAATTCAGTAAGTGTTGGACTGATTGATCCAAGGATATGCAGCTCCCACCAAGGATATATTTCATTTCTGCAATAGGATTGATGACGCTGATGTGTCATTTTCTTTTTCTAATTTGAAGATTCTGTCTATTTTGTCTGCTGTCTAAATGGAATGAGGAATAGCATGGGAAAAATTTTGGTGTCCCTGGTAAGCAGTAAACTTGACATGTGTAGCATACATGGTGAAAATGAACTATATGCACTCTTTATTTCCTGGTGCACCCTGAGTAAGCCTTGGTTTTACAGGCCATGCTTTCATCCCCTCCCAATTATAACTTCTGAGACAGAGAACAGAGTGTGACCTTGGCCTTCTGAAGTCTCAGAGTGCTCAGTGATAGAAAGCCAATGTACAAAAACATAGAGAAGGCAGACAAAAAGAAAGTGATTACAAACCTGAGAGAATCTGATGGAGAAATTGTGGCCTTTTTCTTTTCTTTTTCTCTTTGTTTTGGTAGTAGGGAAAGTTTCAAAAGCATTACAGAAATGCCCAGAATAATATAATCATCTCCCAATGTGCTCATCACCTAGCTTCAACAGTTACCAACCCAAGGCCCTCTTGTTTCATTTATAAATGCCCACCCACCCTCCCTTCCCTCCAACTGTCTTGTTTTAAAGCAAATCCCAACATCATATAATTGTATCCATAAATATTTCAATATGGATCTCTAAAAGACTCTTTTAAAAATCACCCCGACGTCATTACTATGCCTAAAACAAATCAATAATCTCATAATATCATCACATTTCCAGTCAGCATTCCAATTTCCATTTGTGGTGACTTGTTTAATAAATCTGAAAACTGAGTCAAAAATTACGCTTTCATTGAGAAAGAAGCTACAAAGGAGCCAAGACAGATTTTTTTCTTACAGGAAGGTAGAATAAAACCACGGGAAAAGCGATGTCATAGAGTAAAAATGCAGCAGCTCTGATCCTCTCTCCTGGTCTCCAGAGACTGGTCTAACCTCACCTGCCGAGTACTCCGTGCCTCCCCGCGCTCGCCCCCTGGTGGCAGGGGTGTGCTGCGGGGGCTTCTGTCAACTGTTCTGGAAGCCTTCATTTCTTAACATGATGGGGTTCTCTACTATGTTGCTAGTAGTTTAATATTTGGCCACATGGCAAAAATGTGTGTGACACCAGATTTTTAAAAGTGTTGATTGAGTACATAGTTTAAAGTCAGAATATTAAATAAACATCTCTGCCCTTCCTTCCAGCAGGCAGCCCAGAGAACTGCTCTCCACGCTCTGTCTGACAGGTACATTTTGTCATTTTTATGAACTATAAATTGCTTTATGAAACATTGAGCCCTGTTTATTGTGGCATATAATTCATAATCGGATTTTGTCCCTAAAGTATCTGTGAACTGGGATGTTAAACATTTTGCATGCTTGGATTTGTCATGCATGTGTGGAGTTTATTACTGCAAAAATCGCCTTGTTGTATTTCATAGAAAGTGTGAAGAACCCCTTGTTGTGCAATGAAACAGGAGACAAGAAACTTAGAGGAAGAGACCTGAATGGGGCAGTAAATTCTGAACTTTGGAATTGGTGGAGATCTAAGCTCATTTTTCAGCAATAAGAGTTTCATTTATTTTGAAATGTTTTCTTCAGACTTTTTCCATAGCGCTTCACCAGGAGCTGCCTGTCTTTTGATGAAATTCTCTCTTGAAATACTTCATGCACATAACCCAGTTCACGATTCTGAGTGCCTGACTTTTTACTCCTGGCTTTGGCTTGTGTTTTTGGACTTGTGTTATTGAACGAGATATATAAACCTAATCATTAAACACACTCAAGCTGCATTTCACATCCTGCTCTGCCCAAAAAGCTGTGTGTAAAGAGAGCTGAACAGGGACATACAGAGTTACTTTTAGGAACAGACCAGACCCTTTTTGTTTTGGTTGGTTTTTGAGTTTTCATTTACTAAGGTTGGGGTGTGTGTGTGTTTCTTAAAGAACTGTCAGGAGGTGAAGAGGAAGCCCACTTCTGTCCACAAGGGAGGTTCTTGCAGTGTTGGAACCAGCTGGAGGAGATGTTCCCCTGGCTGGCTGGTGGGCACCTCAGCATTATCTAGCTAACTGTCACTACCTTCCTTTTCTTCTCAGTTCTTGTTTTTTGTTTTTTTTCTTTTTGACTGAACAATAATTGACTGTGTCAACTAGCTCAGTTCAGTGCTTCTCCAAGGTAAAACCTGTCACTTAGGCAAATTATCTGTGTTCATGGGTGAAAAGCATTTTCTCTATGGTGGCAGGCTGAGCGTGAGTATTTTTATTTCAGTTGAAAAGCCTTCCCCATGACAACCACACAAGCTTGTGTGCTCTGAGAGGGGCTGCCACATGATCTTCTGGGAATTGCTTCTGGGATTTTCACAAAAGCTGATAACTGTACTGAGTCTGTTGGTAGAAAGACACTCTGGATCGAAACATTGAAAATCTGACACATTAATTCCTTTCCTGTACATATTTCTTTTTTCCCTCTGACTTATTAAGTAAGAGTTTCCTTCAACAAAATGCATTGAAAAGCAAGCAAAGGCCCTCAGTTTATAATATTATGTTACTGCCAATGGTTAGAAGATTTCTTTTAGGGGTATTGAAAATGTTGTAAAATTAGATTATGGTGATGGTTTCACAGCCCTCTACTAAAAGCCATCAAATTGCACATTTTAAATGGGTGAGCTTTATGGTATCTAAATTATATTTCAATAAAGCTATATAGAGAGAGAGATGCAAAACATCATTATGACCTTTGGTAGAATGAATCAAAACCTATTTCAGGAAAATGGGGAATTCCTTTGAAGACATGGCTGCAAATACAAAGACAAATCATCAGAGACTAGAACTGATGCATTCTAAGGCTGCTTCCCAAAACATACATGACTCTGTCCTGGATAGAAAACGTGCATGGATTTTAATGATGAGCAGTACTATTCCCCTTGACTTTTTTGATATTCTCTCTAAAACCCCTCATCAAAACCAATAGTTAGTCAACTAGTAAGTTAGCATCTTAGCCCCTGTTGATTATATAACTGCTAACAGCAGAATACTGTGAGAAAAAAAGTCCATTCCCAAGAAACAGAGGTTCCCATTGTAATTTCTCTTCTTATGAATTTCCCCCTCTTTAAATGTAATAGAGCATTGCTCCCTTAAGTCTAAAGGTTTTTCTGTTCAAAACTGGGGGGATTTGGCTCATTTTAAAGTAATGAGTTGACTTTGCTTTTCTTACAATGCAGTTGTTAAAGCTACCTTCCCTGTGCTTCCTCTATTCTGTTTCCCATGAATTCAGGGCCACACAAGTAATTTCCAGAAGTGAGAAGTATCTGTAATCATTTGGAGATACAATTTTAAATCCTTTTTTAAAATAAGGACTTAAAACACCTACTGAGTTCATGGGATTTATATTTTCTATTTTCTTAAATTAGGGAATGCTAACTTACCAAGTAGTAGATGTCATTTTCTAGCACATTACTTATTTTGTTGAATAAACCAGTATTTTCTAGAAAATGATGAATGTGACTCTGGGTCATACTACTGCATGTCTCGCCCAATATTCTGTCTGTCAGAGGAACCACCTCAGGGTGGGAATGGAATTGAGTAAAGATTTCCCCCAAGTCGTGACCTTCCCAAGGTGGAGATCTTACCCCAGTATCTCTGGCTACTGAGAGCAGGGTATTCATTTACATGAACTATTCTGTTTTCCTGAACTATTATTTTCGGCCTGTTGTTATCACTTCTTGATATAAAATTCCATTATGATGAGGCAGCACTTTCATTTTGTCCTAGAAAATGGCAGCACTTTTAAGACCTTACAAGGTGCTTTCCTGAGTTCTGCAGTTAGGCAGAACAGCCCATGGTGGCTTAGGCTGTGCCACTGTGGACTTCTTGTCTCCTGTCCTGCTAGTTTGGTCACATGTGGGCCCCTTTCACTTCCAGTTAGCCTTCTAACCACCTTGAGTAGCTGGTGGACCCAAGGACATTTGATACAGGAGCAGAGCCATTTTGTTTCAAGATGTGAACTTGATGATGACTTTGAGGTCGTTGGTGGGTGTGAGCATACACTGAAGGAAGCCAGTAGCTGTTCTCTGCTTCCCCGTGAGAAAACCTGCATCCAAGTCTTAGAGACCTAACTTGATGAGACGAGTTGGCCACTCCCTTTTCTTTCTAATGGCAGGTAGAAATCTTGTCCCTTTGGGGTGTCTGAGATGAGAGAACATCCAGATGCCTTTTGAAGGCCAATCTTGTCTATCTTTTCATTTCTCCAGTTTCTTGGTTAAATAGACATTCTAGCAGAAATCCAGTATCTCACAGTTAAGACTGTGCTTTAAAGTTCAGTGGGTCCTAAGCAATCAATGCACAACCTTGATAAATTAAAACTACGAGATTTCCATTACCTAAATGTAAAAATCTTCTGTGGTCACCTCCAATGAAAACATGTGGCCTTGTTTGGTTTTGCCTGAACAATGGGCTGAATTTATGGTTCCTCCAAAATAGCCAAAGTGTTGAAGACTGGATCACACTGGCAAGGCAAATCTGGGCTTCAGCCCAGCTAACTTGCGCCACCCTGCAGGGACAGGAAGCCTTGCATGAGGGTAGAACGTCGCTTTTTGTTGTTGTTGTTCTTTCCTACTGCTGACTGTAGAATTTTTCATCTGTTTTATGCCTTTGAGCGTCAGCTAGCCTACCAGAGGCCCACTGATTCCCCAAATCATGAAAAAAGTAGGAGACCAGGGCAGGAAGAGGTAGCAAAATTCTCAGTAAGGTAAAACAAGCTAATTGGAAGAAAACCTCAGTCTACAAAGGAACACTCTCCTTCTTACTTAGTCACTCCTTAGAATGTGCCTCCCAAGTGTTTTTTTTTTTTTTTCTCCTTATGGATCATTGTGCCGGATGGGGTAGAGAGAGGCAGAGGAGAATAAGGATAAATGGGCAAGAGGCTCATTTATAAAGGTGTGTCTTTGGTGTATACTCACTGCACTGTGAAAGCTGCCACACTGCCAGTAATGTGGAAAATATGCAAAGTGCTGTTCAGAGAAGGAAGGGTATGTGTGCCGCATATGAAGTGCCTCTGAATATGATTAACTTCGCCTCATAAGTAGTAAATAGTAGATAACTGTGATCAAAAAAGGGATTCGTGTGATTTATCAAGCTGAGCAACTGTGCATTTGCAGAGAAGCTGGAGGTCAATCTTGAAATCTAGGGCAAGAGGAGCACTAGGAAATTGCCGGGACTGAGAAGTTAATCATACCCTTGGACTGCTTCCATCTGTCTCCGAGCGACAGAGCTGCTGCAGAACGAGCTGGGATGCTTTATAGCAGCAGATCAGGAATTAATATTTTCTGTGAAACCTCAAGCATCATTTGCAGTAACTTGGGTTTTATAAAAATGGAGCATAATTTCATATGAATAAATCACATTCAGCTGGAAATAAGAGGAGCTGGGGGGAAAAAAAAAAAACTGTGCCTGACTTAAAAAAAAAAAAAGGAATGAGCAAGAAAGCCAACATGAAAACAGTTGTTGAAGCGATGGCACTTGGAGGGCACGAGTGTCCGTGTGGTTAAATTGTGCATATAATCATCTTCTGAAATGTCAGCGTGTGACTCCAGAAACGGCTACATTTTTATAGCCTTGGAGATGCATCACCAGACTGTAACCTGTCTGCCCATCTGGCAATATCTCAGGTCCAGGATCCATTTATACTGAAATCCAAACAACTGCCTTTGATTGATTCACTTATGCCTTGAGCATTTATTGATTGCATCGCGCGTGCTCAGCCAGCCGCAGAGCTGGGGCAGGGGTGCAGTGGTGAGCAGAAGCCGCCATGCACCTTCGCTCAGGGCTTTACCACTTAGAGGGATGCTGGCTTTGCAAAAAGAAGGGCCTCTTTGGGCTCATTCAAATAAATCACACCGATCAAATCTCCTCTTCCCATTAGGGAGAATGTAATGGAATTAAGCAAATGAGATATAGACTAAAAGGAAGGGGTTTTCCTTCCACGTGGGGCTGGTATTCATCCAAAGGCAGGACTGGAAATGGCCCCAGAGTAAGGTGAGGAGGGCCAGGTGGGGTATCGGACTGCAAAGTAGGGGGTTTGCATCCAGTTTCATCTTCCTGACCCCTTGCCAAGTGGACCAACTTCAGCCGAACAAAGGGAGCATGCTGGGGTGGCCACCAGCACAGAAGTGTAACTTTCTGCATAACATTTTACACGATGTCCCTGATGTCCTGAGAGAAGAGCCACAGTTACCATGCACTACTAACAGTTGGTCTCTTCTCAAAGGGTCCAAAAAGGGGGTGGGGAGGATGCAGAACTTTTTGTTGTTGTTATTATGTTAATCACCATACATTACATCATTAGTTTTTGATGTAGTGTTCCATGATGCATTGTTTGCGTATAACACCCAGTGCTCCATGCAGAACGTGCCCTCCCCAATACCCATCACCAGGCTAACCCATCCTCCCACCCCCCTCCCCTCTAGAACCCCCAGTTTGTTTTTCAGAGTCCAGGATGCAGAACTTTTTAAAAA